TCCCGGTGCCTCTGGTCTGCTGGGGACCATCTCCAGCAGACCAGGGACACCGGGAGCAAAGGAGGCGGAGGGGCGCTGGGGTATAAGATGAAACCCTATCTTTTAATTAAAAAGATAGGGGGTCGTCTTATACACCCAGTCGCCCTATACGCCGGAAAATACGGTATATACAAAATGTTTCCTGTGGGTTGACAGAGATGTCATCACATCATAGCGTCCACAGGCTGGGGGACAGGCATGGGAGGGTAAAGCCCCAGCCTGCCCCTTCTACCTGAGGCCCCATCCGTGGAACCAAGCCCCACCCACTGCCAACCTGGCCCTCCCCTGCTGCTGGGGAGCCAGAGTTGGGCCTGGCGTGCTGCAGCCTCCTCTGGCTGACAGGAGCAAGGCCAGGCCTGGAGCACCATGGCATCATCCCTCCTCAGCCACTGGGCTTATCAGTTAATCGTTTACATATCTATATGCTAACATCCCTACTGAAAACTCTGTTCTTGAAGCCTTAAAGTTAAAGGCATGTTACCTGGTGACTGACTTGGACAGATTCCATTCAGAAGATTAAATTAAATTAATGGAGATTGCCTATCTCCTAGAACTGGAAGGGACATTGACAGGTCATTGAGTCCAGTCCCCTGCCTTCACAGCAGGACCAAGTACCATCCATCACAAATTTTTGCCCCAAATTCCTAAATGGCCTCCACAAGGATTGAACTCACAACCCTGGGTTTAGTAGGCCAATGCTCAAACCACTGAGCTATCCCTCCCCGCAATGTAAAAAGAAGCATCTCGTCACTGTGTACTGTGTGCCTCACAACAAATTTATTTGCACACTAAGCCATCAAGTAATCCAAATGCCAAACTGACTAGAGATAACCAAATCTACAGGAAGATACACATTGCAGAGGGTATCCAGTTTATGACCAAAATGAAAGTATTCATCCAGCATATCAAAAGAATACAGAGAGACTTATTTCATCCATCACTGAGACGACAAGTTGGCAAAATGAAAAAGGGGATCACAGCCCGCCTGGCTGAAAATCATTGGAGAACAATACTGTAAGACACAAAAGTGACCAGGGATGTAAAAATCCCATTGAATTGGTTAACCGGTTAAAACCAATTAAAGGGTGGGCAGGCAGTCCCCTCCTTCCCCATCTGCTGCAGCCAAACTGGTGCAGCCTCCCCCTCTCCTCCCCAAACTGTACAGAGGGGCTGCTCCAACTTGGCCAGAACAGCCCGGGCCTGCCAAGGACAGAGGCTGCTCCAGACAGGCTGGAGTGCCCGTGTCCATGGTGGGACCCACTGGGCTGGAGCAGCCTCCTGTCTGTAGCGGGCTGGAGGCTGCTCCAGCCCCCACTGGTTAACTAGAACCTGTAAGCATCACCCTAACCTTTCACATCTCTAAAAGTGACTAGTTAAAGGCTCTAGAACACAAGTTATGATTTTATATTAGTCAGTTATTTTCAATTCTTCTACTTGCTTTAACTTAAATCTTTATGGCTATGTCTACACTCTGGGGTTTTATTGGAAAAAAGGTACGCAAATCGTGCTCTGCAATTTAAGTACCTTTTCCTGATATTTTTTTCGGAAGAGGCTTTTCCGAACTTTGGTCCATCTACACTGGGCCAAATTTCAGGAAAAGCCCTTCTTTCAGAAGTGCTCTTCTTCCTCATGGGAGGAGGAAGATAGGGCTTCCAAAAGAGCGTGTCCACTCTTTCACAAATAGAAGCGGAAGAGCAGATGAGTTCCCTGGACATGGAGGCATTTTCTGGGCTATCCTGTAGTCTAGACATAGCCTATGAAAGGTGTCAGAGAGGTAGCCATGTTAGTCTGTTTCAGCAAAAAACAAGGAATCTGGTAGTACTTTAAAGACTTAACAAATTTAAAGTGCCACTGGACTCCTTGCTGTTTTGTTAAATCTCTATGCTTTGATAAATAAACTTACTTGTTTTCACTATAAACATTTCTAAATGCTGTTCTTAAGCAGAGGAATGATTTGAGGTATAACTCACAAGCTGGGATGTATTTTCCCTTTGGGAGCAATGGATCTGGGAATACAATGAATGTTCAGTGGTACAATGACTGGACACTGTAGAGAAGCATACCAAGGACTGAAGATGGAAGTATGCCTATAGCTAATCTGCAGAGGGGCAGAAGAGCTAGTGCTGGCAGAGGTGGAATGCTTGTTGCCTGTAACCCAAGGAATTGACCTCAGCAGCAAAGACAAGACTCCTTTACAGTAAGTGTAGGTGGTAGCAAGGTGTGTCTCAACCCTAGATACTCCGAGGAAGTACTATCTAACTAGGATGTGCAACAAAAATCAAGGAAACCCAGACCTTTCTCTTTTAACCTAAAGGATAAAGTTCTAGCTATGTATGCAACTTCTACCGACAAATGTCAATAGCGTTTGCATGTGCGATCTGAGGGCAGAATTCTGCTTTTTGGCTCTTTGTTTTTCAGATTTGTATTACAGTCCCCCACTTCAGTTTTATAACAGGAAAAAAAAAAATCAAGGCAAACCCTGAAAAGAACTTAATAAAAATGTAGAATGCTTTAAATGTAGAAGGTTTTACACACATAGTAAAAAATTCTTCTAAACAACAGTCCTGTATTTTAATATCTGGCATTATCTGCTGTTCAAATCCTAGGCCTTTTATATGCCACTATTCTAGACTGAGACAGAGATCTTTCAGTGAAAGACTAGAGAAAGAAAGGCTATGACCCACATCAAAGAAGTACTCATTTTGTAATTTATCATCTTATTTAGAAAATAAGGTCTCAAAACCAAATTTAATAATAATGGATGGAAGAAACTGTTTGTTATCCACATCCCCTATTACTCAACACCTCTAGCACCCTGAATAACCTGCCAAAAAGCATATGAATTTCTGCTGGGAGTGGGTTGCCACTGAAAAATCAGTGACTCACTGAACTAGTCTGATTAGTAGAATTGTATGTACAGCCAAGATACTTTGTCAGAGGAGCCAGAATAGATGCTTCTACTTGAAGAAATCTGCTTCAACAGTAGATTTTTAGAGCCAAACAAAAATAAGATTCAAACAATGGTATGCACTAGGGATGTTAAAAAGCAGGGTTTTTTTTTTTGGAAATGTGTAACCCAGTGGTGGGAAACCTAAGGCTCTGGGTGCTTGATGTGGCCCCTGGGTTGCTTGGATCTGGCCCCTGGGGTTTAGGGCCCATGATGGCATTCCAGCCTCCTCCCACCCCACCACAGCCTCCCAACTGATTTTTCTCTGTGTCAAATGGCCCCCGACCCAAAAAAGGTTCCCCACCCTTGGTGTAACCTATCATCCAAGTGGAGATGAAGCATTATACATTGTTTAGGATGAAGAACGGATTTTCACAAAGAGATTATGAGTACAGAAATGTAATTATGTCAATCTGGGAAAAAAGATCTGAGCAGATAAACAGGTTTGAGATGGACTATAAACGATTTTAAATCTCAAACCCTTAAAAGGATTTCTGTATAAATTGGTATTAAACTGTATATTTCCAATAAATGGGTAATGCATCCAATCAAATATAATAAAACAGATTAAAGTACTCCGTGCAGCCAACACAGATTAACTAAACATCTGACCCTGCAGAAAAAAGCAGAGAACACTAAAATATTTCTGATACAAGTTGTTCTACTGAGCTAGGATACTTTCAATTGTACATATCAAAATAAGAAATCTAATTTTTAAACAAGTATTTCAATGTCTGAAATGTTTAAATGTGTGTTAATTATACAACAAAGTATTTCTCATTTGATACCTTCAGTCCAGGAATAAATCGAGTATCTTTTTCAACTAATAGGAGTTGAGCAACATCAGCATTGAGAATGGATCTTGTAATTCCTCCTGGCCCAGGACCCACCTCACAGACATGGGTATCTTTCAGCTTGCCAGCCTGTCTCACTATCTTATCTGTAAAGTCACAAAGCACATACAAAGCTTTTATTTTGCAAGGCACTGACCTCACCAAGCTCTGTGTAGTTTATGTTTCTACAGTAAACAATGAATTATCTCAGAATAGACAGAAACAATGGCACCTCCTAGTTAAATGAGGGGAGTACTGTGGCGAATGGAGCTTGCCAGACCACAGAGAATTCAGTTTCATTTCTAGATTAACAGAGAATCTCATGTAATCAGAAAAAGATGCACAATAAGCTTATTTTACTTTCTTAAAAATAGAAAAATAATTTTCTCCTTACAAACTGATAATGCAATTCTCTTTAGGGAAGGTAACTCCTGTAGCATTACTGCAGAGTCTGCCCACTTTAAATGGAAATTCCATTACAATGAAGCAGTTCGAAAGAAATATAAAATGAACATGGGTAGAAAGGAGCTGCCTGGGGATTAAGGCATTTAAGAAGTAGAGTTACTTGAGATAAGAGGCTGGGGAAGCCAGGAAGAACAACCAGAAAGATTAGGGCAAAAAAGAACAGAGGTAATTGTGGGCAGCTAAGGACTTAAAGGAGTGGGAAGCAAGAAAATCTGTATAAAAAGGAAGAGGAGAAAACAAAACTCAGGCATTAGGAGGGAGAATACAGTGAATTGTTTTTAAAAAAAAAAAAAAAAAAAAAAAAAAAAAAAAGGAAGCAAAGTGGAAAGAATTCAACAGAAGAGACTGGACAAGACCCAGACCAATATCCAATAGGCTGACAGGATACCTGGTAGGTAGCAGACCAGAGTTTAAGTCCCCACTACACATTAGCCAGTGTGAAGATATGAACCTGGTTCACCCATATTTTAAATGTGTATTCATCCTCTGTGCTATTGGATACAAGGAGTCATAGGCAACACAACCACCTTCTTGGTTTTGTGCAAGGCCCAATTCACCAGCTGCATAGCAAAGGCAAAGCAGGCAGGAGATGCTTATTTTGTCAATCCTCTGGGGCTCAGGTATGAATTAGACATTAAGCTGTTGGGTAGTAGCAGAACTACCAGCAGAAGTGTAGATATCTACTGGACATTACCAGTGGAAACGTATGTACCAAGCAATTTAAGCACCTATAAAGTTAGGCAACAGCTGGGTAAGGATTTGTGGATTTAAATTTTGGATTTAGGTGTCCAGCTACCATTTTAGGTGCCTTAGTCCCCACTTGTGAATTGCACCCTTAAGACTGTCTATATATGGAGTTGTTCCAGACTGTCTCTACATGAAGATGAAGATCATAGAATTTGACTAACCCATTTCCCCTGCCCCAATGTTCCCTACTATTCTCTGGTAATCTTTGACAATAATTTTTATAGCACTGGGCACAGCTCCATAATTAAGGGTGAGCTGAATTTTGCATTTAAATAAATTTAATCTTTTGTTATGTATAAATAAACTCTACCCTACCCTCCATTATAGCATTTACTCTGCATGAAAAATTAAATCTTTGCACATTCACAGGCAAATGTATTATTTTGAGTTAAAATTTTTAAAAATGTACCAAAGTGAGTAAGACATGAGTCCCCATACAAATAAATGGAGACAGAGCTTAAATAACGGAGAAAATTAATAGGCAGATGTGAATAAAATTTTAAAAGATCCAAGATAAAAAGTGTCCCACCTGTCAATCTCAAATCCAGGAGAAAATTCTGAGATAACTGCTTTTGTGCTCGGAGATTAAACAGTTTAATAATCTCTCTAATAGTTGGCAAGGGTGGTAGTCGAAAAGCCACTTTTCCTGAAGCAGCCATGGACCAAAATTGTTAACTCTTGCTCCTAAAAAACAGGGAAAGAAATCACTAAGCATAATAAAATGTACAGTAGGACAAAATTAAATATTTAAGAAACAGAATGGAATGAAATGCAAGACTCAAAATATTTACTTGTTCTAATTCTATCAAATTAACCTATTGCTTTAGAAGCATATATTAAAAATTCACAGGACTTACGAACCACTCTTTATCTTGGGAACACACATGTATGAGAGATGTAAAATCCCATTTAAAAAGTTAACCAGTTAAACTTTAAATGACCTGGGAGATGCTTACTATGTAAACGGTTAGCCACCAGCCTAGCTGGACTGGAGCAGCCCCCTACCCACATCAAGCCAAGGGCTGTTCCAGCTCAGCTAGGAAACTGGTTAACCACTTAACCATGTACTGTAACTGGTTAATCCTTTACATCCCTAATATGTATGTACCTAAGTTTAAATACATAAGCAGTTTCAACTTTAATGAATCTACTCACACCTTTAAATTAAGTATTACGTGCAGAAGGCAGCACTAGTATCAATGCTGGTCATAAAGCAGATTTTAAATTAACTCACCCTATACCTCTCAAAATTCAGGTTGAACCTCTGTGGGCCTGGACTCTCTAGTCTGGAAACATCTGTGGTCCAGAAGGCCCATGGATGTCGCTGGAGTAGAAAGCCTCAGCACAGAGGTTGCCAGAGGTTAGGAGAAGAGCCTGCAAGCAGGACCAATGGGGCAGCAGAGCCCACAGGGCAACACAGCCCACAGCCAGCGGGGCTGGGAAGTAGGTGGGGCCAAGGGGGGGCGGCTGCAGAGCTCACAGCTGGTGGGGCTGGCATGGCTGCTGGAACTGCATAGCCTGTAGAGCAGTGGCAAGTAGCTGGGGAGAGGAACCCAGCAGAGGCTGGCACCCTACCCCCCCACATACCCTGGTTCAGAAGATTCCCTCATCCGGGACCAATGAGGTCCCCAGGAGGCCAGACCAGGGAAGTCCAACCTGTAGTGTTACTTAGCAATCTGTATTTTGATTAATTCTACCTTTTTTAAAATGAAAAAGCAATGGTTTTACATTAGAAGGGGATATCAGTAAAATATACACAAGTTGGATACAATTCATGCATTTAATTAATTTCCCTAAAAAAAGAAAAAAAAAAACTATTTCCTCTTTTCTCTGAAACATCAAGTTTTGTGATGAAAGAGAGCATTTTGTACAATGTTGCTTACACCTGTCCATCATCCAGATGTGAACTAGTAAATGCTAGTAAATCAGATCGTCAACAGGATAGTCTACTGGTCACTTCCCAAACCCCTAGCTGCCTCTATCAGAAAGAGGAAGCGGCACTTCCAAAGGACAGCGGCCCGGGATCAGCTGGGGACTCCCCCGCTGACTCCCAGCTCCACATGGCACTTTCGCCTTTGAAGCATAGCAAGAGCCCTAGGGCTTCAAAGATGGAGGCGCCCTATCGACTAATCAAATAGTCAATGCAAAATGCATCAACTATTCGATTAGTCACTCAATATTTAACATCCCTAAGTTTAAGGGCCCAGTATTCCACAGTAGAGCCTTGCAGCATCAGCATGCAATGCATCACTGTGATAATCTGAAGAGCCTTGCTGACAAAAAGTCCCAGCAGCATTAACTCATTTGGACGCCCCAATGGCTTTCTATTTAGAGCAGAATAGAACCTACAGCTCAATGATTCACAACTGACTTGCTGGGGTTCAGGGCAGGAAGTCACAGACACTTACCTTCCTTCCTTCCCCCCCCCCCTGCATCCCCCTCCTGTTCTGCAATGTGATTTGTCCTTTTCATATTTGTTCATTTTTTAAAATTGTATCCTTTGGTATATATGGTTGTGACTACTTTCTTCCACTATTTGATCTGAGGAAGTGGGTCTGGCCCACGAAAGCTCATCATCTAATAAACCATCTTGTTAGTCTTTAAAGTGCTACATTGTCCTGCATTTTGCTTCAACTACCCCAGACTAACACGGCTACTTTTCTATCACTATTCTCCAAGCAAGGGGGCTTTGTCATGAAAGGCTTTGGCTGAGGCTTAGCTCCAGCCCTGAACTTGAAGGCTCAGGTTTCTGCTTTGGGGCCCAGTGAGCCCTGCTCATGTGGCTGAAGTCCAAGCCTCAGCAACTTCAGTTTTTGTCCTGCATTTTGCTTCAACTACCCCAGACTAACACGGCTACTTTTCTATCACTATTCTCCAAGCAAGGGGGCTTTGTCATGAAAGGCTTTGGCTGAGGCTTAGCTCCAGCCCTGAACTTGAAGGCTCAGGTTTCTGCTTTGGGGCCCAGTGAGCCCTGCTCATGTGGCTGAAGTCCAAGCCTCAGCAACTTCAGTTTGCGGG